GAACAGAAGGATGAGGCTGCATGTTCGTCGAAGGATGTGCAACAGACGTCCGGGAAGGTTGAAGAACAGCAAAAGGCTCCTTCGTCATCAACAGTTATGGACATGAACACGTTATTGGCTGTCATGTCACCGATGATGGAAGCACAGGATACACGCATGTCAGAGATGTCATCACAGCTGTCAACTCAGATGCAAACACAGTCGTCAGATGTTTCATCGCAGATACAAGCGCTGGAGACACGTATATCAGCAGCGATATCAGCACAGATGTCATCCCAACTGGAAGCACAGGATGCAAAGATTGTACAAATACAGGAAAAAATCGAAGAGAGACAGGACAAAGTCGAGGCTAAGATGGGCGAGTTAGAAGGTCCACTCCGAGACTTGCAGTTGAATCATCTAGCCGCTTCGACGAACGCTCCCAAGGTAAAAAACTCCATCCTTTGACGGCACGACTCCTTTCCAGGTCTTTAACAAATCATTGGAGTATGGAGGATAAATCCGCTGCTCTGTTAGTGGCATTAAAAGGACCTGCAGCGGAAATCTTGCAGACTATTCCCGACAGTGAAAAGAACAACATGGGTGCAGTGGAAAGGCGTTATGATAGCGAGCACAGGACGAAAATTTACCAGATGGATCTGGTCAATCGGAACCAAAAAGCCAACGAGTCTGTACAGGAAATCGCCTCAGAGATCGAGAGGTTGGCTGCTCACTTAGCAATTGGAGATGCAACTGCTGAACACCTTGAAGGAGTAAAAATCCAGCGGTTCATCAGCGGAATGAGGGACATATATACCAAGCGAGAGACGTATGCAAATCCAAAGGCAACATTTGCTGAAACGGTCTCGTATGCTCAGACACGTGAAACGGCGGCGCTCCTAAGTAGGCCAGCCAACAAAATACATCGAGTAGAAGTAGAGACACCTGACGTGATGAACGAGATCCCGAAAATACTCAAGTCGATCGCAGGTAAAAATACTCGTGGTGCAACCGAGAAAAAGGATGGCTCTGGAAAATGCTTTAGTTGCGGAAAACCAGACCCACGCGAATGTAAGACGGGTTCCAACAGGTCTAACATTTCAGCAGTACATAAAAGCTGGTCTTCAGCTGAAAAATTACTCACGAATTGCAAATTAACACAATTTTAACTGAACTTCCACTTACAATTCAAATTTCTCTTTGCCGCTGATTTGTAGGCAAAGGTTTATTTAATGGTTACCTCAACTGTCAAAATCGGCAAAACCAAAGTAGCGGTACAACAGACGGCGCCACCTTTGATTCACTACACCGTGGTTTGAGCTAACGGGAAATTTTGTCGAGTTTCACAAACCGCTTGTGTCGTGTACTTCGTCCTTAAAGTTTAAGTATGTGCATTTTTGTCCCAAACCGATTTTGTGTAATGCATTTATGTCGCATTTTGGGCCCAAAAGTCATTCTTTTGTGTAAAGAAAAATGTCAAAATAGTTCCACCCTGTACTTCCAATGATTTCCGAGAGTGCATTCCAGACAATTGTGGGAAACGAAAAAAAATTGATCGCAAACAAATCGCAATTAACAAATTCATTAGAAAATTCTTATTAAACAATTGTGAAAGTGTATATATTGAAAATAGTGAATTAACGTATTCAAAAAGAAGTGTATTTACCTAATCTAGAAGCCATATTCAAAGATTATATTGAACTTAGAAGTTCATAAAACGCAAAAATTACTGAAAAAAACATTGAGGCCTTTCTATGGGATCATCGGCACAAATATTTGAAAAATAAACACTTCGGGAAGTTTTTGTATTTAATATAAATGGATCAAATTCGACCTGCAGGTATTTATAATTTATGACTCAAAGGGTAAACTTATAAATATAATTTTCATTAACGTTTTTTTCATCTACGAAGAACCATCGAATTTGAGCGGTGCCACAGGAACTGCAACTGAAGACCAACCTTTGAATAGCAATGAGGAAATTGTAAATACTAATGAAGCAGGGGAAACACCACCCCCCAGTGAAGGCACCAATGAACTCAGCCGTTCTGTATCTGCCACAAAACCCAATACAACTGAGGAATCAACTGCAGGTCTCCCTTCTGCTGAAAATGAAGCACCTGTTCAGCCGTCCGCAACAACGTCAAGAATCGAGCACGCG